TTCACCCAGCCTGTTACACATTCCCCCACCCCAAAACGTGCTTTGAAGAATAGAGATGCGTTGGAGGCCTTAAGCAAACCCCAGCCGGCCATACCTCTTACCATATGTTGTTTCCCATTCAACCCCAGTGCATTTCATTCACTTCTAAATCTGTCCTTTTCTTATTTTTTTTCTTCCTCCTCTTCTTTTTTGTAAGCCGCCCACAGTCCTTCGGGATTGGGCGGCATATACATTTTTATAATAAATACATAAATAAAATAAATCCCCCCCCTTTTCCCCTGTGCAAGGCTGTTTTTTTTTCCCTCTCTCTTGAACAGAAACACCCAGCAAATTTCTGGATTTATTATCTGGGAAAACTGCCCACTTAATCCGTTCCAAATTTAGGGAGGTTCACCTCAAACTCGCTTCAAGACGTGTCATAGGGAGAAGTCGCACATTTTTTACGTGTTCTTTCAGTCTTGTGTTGTTGTGGTTTTTTTTTTTTTTAAAAAGACCTATTATTTCTATAAACACAAAAGCAACCCGACCTATCTTATTTCTTTTTTTAAAAAAACAGACACCTTGAAAGCTAAGCACGGGGTACAGAAGCCAGCCCTCCCCGCACCCCTCCCCAGGGGAAAACAGGCAAAGGAAAAATGACGAATGGAAATGGAAAGAAAGGGATGAACTCCGAAAGCTCAAGTGGGAAAGGATTTCCCCCACCCCCGTCCGTACACCAATGTTGGGAAGGGGGCTGCGCGTCACACGAAGGTCTCGATCCACTCATCAGCCCAGTGGGTTTAAGAATTTAAGGGGGGGGGGGAAATGGAAGGAAATAATTTGAGCTGGGCTCTCAAAGAGCCGGTTAAAATCCCACCCCGATTACAACACGCAGATCTGGCTATTGCAGGAGGATGCAGCTTTGCAGCCCCCTCCTGGCTAATATGCGGAGAGTGAATTGCCACCTGACTTTATGCACTGGGGACCTCCGTGCAATTCTGACTCTTGACACCTGAGCTCGGGGTGGGTGGGATGCCGGAGCCACTGGGCCGTGCAGGTCGTCCCCCATCTCCACAAGGCCTTTGGAAGCTTTTGCCTCGAAAGGTTGCCCATTAACCAGAAGGGCTTGCAAGGACAACCCTGGTCTTGGGCAGGAGCTCAGCCACGGTAGGAAAAGCCCTTTAGGTTTCCCCCTAGGTGGGGAACACCAGACCAGGGCCCCCTCCTCAAAGCCAAGATGAAGCTCTGAATGAGGGCAAAGACCACGCCATCTTCAAAAGCCCGGGAACTGACATTGTGTCCTTGTGCCTTCATTGTTTAGGAAACCACAAACCTTGTATTTACAAACAAGGGGGGGCACAACCTACAACTGCCCTGGACCCTTGCCTGTGACCGTCGGTTCTATGATCTTATTTTGTGGCAGTTGTTAAGCGAGACAATGGGCTGCGAATGGGTGCAATTTGGCTGAAAACCAGAAGTGCGTGCTGGTTTTGGATTAAAAGTGGCCGTATGACATCAGGCTCTTGCGAACCAACCGTAGATGCGCCCAGTCATAAGTTGAGGACTCCCTGTCTTGGACTAGGACGGGGGTCCCATTAAACTGAAAATCAGCTGGCAACCAAAAGGGGCTGCCTTCCCAAAGGAGGCGCCTGGGAGACCCCGCTTTTCTTCACGCCCTGGAAGGGCTTCGAAGGATTCTACCCAGAAGCCTGGAACGAGCTCCCTGTTGAGATCCGGACCCTTACTACCCTCCCGGCCTTCCGCAAAGCCACCAAGTCCTGGCTGTTCCAGCAGGCTGGGGGGCATTTACCTCCACGGGAATTGTGAATGTTGGTTTTGTTTTTAATATGTTGCCTTTGTCT